TAGTTAGTTATTGCAGATATTTGATAGTCTAAGCAACTGATACAAAGAGAAAGGAAACATTAACAGTAAGGGAATCAGTTACTTGGTTGATAATATGGGAATTCTAACTGCCTCACTAGGTAGAGAGTGCCTGTCGGTGGCACTGTTAAGAGCTGGGTGTGTGGGAAGAGAAGCCTGTGTGAGGGCGGAGGCAGGCGCTGAGTAAGATCTTGAGAGTGTGTGCGCTTAGGTAGGAATCCAGCTTTAGCTTCTGCTTAATTCACACAAGGTTTCACTCCTGTTCATCAGCAAAAAGCAGGAATAGTTTCCCCGGCAGCTGACTGTAACTCCTAATATTTCTACCTTAACAGACATCACATAATTACTAAAATGTTTTTTATTTTTTCAAACAGGGGTGATTCTTCAAGAGAATCTTCGAACTTTATTAGTTTACAGCTTTGATTTTACACTCAGCTTTTGACACTTCCTTTAAATTATGTTTTTATTAAAATTATTTTATTATGGGGGAAAAGGTATTTGGAAAAACTTTGTTACTTGCATGTCCATCATGTGTGCTGACTCCTGCGCGGGGCACTGCCTGTTGACAACTGTACTGTGCGGTTCTTGAGCTTTTGAGACGGGCAGCAACAGGTCTGGAAGGGAGCTGATGATGGACAGGGGCTGGTGGAGCACCCCCTCGATCGCCATGTTTCTCCATCTACCTCGCGTCATTGTGGATTCGAGTGCATTTCCCTTTGATGCCTGGGCCATTATGAAAGGCGTGCCACGTGGACGGCAAGATATACTTAGCTAGTACTTAGAACACTTTGGTGCTGGTGACTTGAGGGCATTGCTTGCCACCAAGAAGAGTGAAACCAGAGTCAAAATCTTGACGCTGCCCTGAGCTGTGGGGACGTTAGTGCCAACTGTGGCTGGTATTTGTCCAAAGGGACAGTCACTTTGATGTTGCATGAAATGGCAAGAAGTCAATTCCTCTCTGAAGTGTAATTTTAAACCCCATGCCTCGGGCCTCGCTTCCTTTTCCTGGGGCTGGGAGACACTCCTTGCATCAAGGGGTTGCTTTAAAAAAGAACAAAGAATCTTTGGGAAACAGCCTCTAAAACCCTCCTATCTTATATAGACAGCTTTGGCTTGAGGGGACGTCTTTCTTCCAGGATGGTGTTACTGCAATTGAAATGCAACGTGGAAAACTATTTTCTTAGTGTGATGTCACAATAGGCACAGCTATATGCCTACTATGTTCTGGCTGGCCTTAATGTATGCTAACTTAAGTAATAAATAACGCAGAACAAGAAACATGGTTGGTTTTCATTCTCTTTGGGTCACTGGCTAGATGGAAAAGTCTGAGCACGATGTGTAGCCGTGTGTAGTCACCTGAGCTCTTGGGCCCAAGTGCTCCTCCAGGTGGGCAGCCTTCAGTGAGCAATCGTTTGTTTAAAAACTCAGAGAGAAGCCTGTCTAATAGGAACCAGAATTTTCCAAAAAGGCTTCAAATAGAGGTTCTTGAAATAAAATGAGAGATGAAAAGTCCTGGGTGTTGGGTATGCTGCTTGGCCTTGAATGGCAGGGAAAGAATGGGCATTTACTAAATATTCATTAGGGAGGCCCTTCCTTTGTATGGCCCTGGATTTGGGTACCTCATCCAGGTAGCCAGAGAGCAGTGGACTGAAGATTGTATCTTAACCAGCAGGATTGCTCTCAGCACTGGCTCTTCCTTCATCCCTGGCCTTCTGAGTGCCAGCCCAGCAGCAAAACTCCAAGATGATTTTTCTTTCTCCGAAGTGAAATTAGTGCTCTTGGATCCGTACTCCTTATCAGGTTTTGGTGACGCTGGCACTTACTCATGCCCTAACCACTGAGCACACCTACTTAGGGGTGAGCAGGGTTCTCTGCAAAGGGGTCTGTCTGAGGTAGAGGCTCAGATCTCAAACTGGGCTTCCATATCTGCTCTCTCTGTCTACCCCTTCTCCCTGGAGACCGAAGTAGTGTGAGGAGATAGACTGAAGTGTGCTCCATGGAACCCCAGTCCAGTGAAATGCCCTGTTGGACAAGTTCCATGGTCTCCCAATGCTTCAGACCCTCGATTTGGGAGGCGCTGGGATTGCTTCATTCAGCAAGTATTGACTGGATGTCTGCCACTGTGCTTAGTGCTCAGCAGCCTTTACTGCATTGAAATTGGACACTGGGGACTGAGGAGGAAAAACGTTTTCTCTTTCTCACGATTTGGCTCAGCTCCTACATCAGAGAGATCCAGAAAAGAAGTGGGCTCCCCTTATTTTTCCACTCACTAGCCCAAGGCCACCATCACCCTGAAGGCCCAGGGTGTCCTTTGTCCACCTCCCATTCCGCATATGTTTACAATAAAACATCCTCAGTTACACAAAGATCTTCAAGTGTGTCTTGGCTCTTTGTGGCTAATTTGGGATAGTGCTAGCCTCTTTTCCCACCTGGTGGTCCCATCAGACAGTCTTCAGTCATTTCTTTTTTTACAGAAAAAAAAAAAAAAAAACTTCCCCAGAGTGAATGCTAGGCCCAGTGGTGCCAGGAGCCTCCCTACAACAGTGTGCATTTGCTTGGGTGTGGCTGAGGTTTGAAAAGCCTCTGGCCATCCATGTTCCCACCACGCCTTTAAGAGAGCCTCAGCAGACTCTGGGGCGTAGTGCCTCAGGCACTTGACTGCTAACCAGAAGGCTGGCTGTTCAAACCCATCACCCCCTCCTCAGAAGGAAGGTTGGGCAATCTACTTCCATAGTGATACTGCCTCAGAAACCCAAGGAGGGGTTGCTGTGAGTCAGGTTCAACTCAACAGCACATAACAACAACAGCTGACTAACTCTTTTCTGCTGGCAAGTTACAGATCCTTTCTGAGCAAAGGGACCCCATGTGGTTCTCCAGAGCTTGCCACCCTGGCTGTAGCCCAGTGTGGACTAACCAGTGCTCAGAGGCCTCTCCTTGGTGGGCAGGAAACAGGCAGAACTCCTGAGTCCTTACAACAAAGACCTCACTCAAGTGATGGGGGCAGCCTCGCAGCTGCAGTCCGGAGCAGCTGAACTAAAGCACAGCCTCTTCCTGCCTGTGTAGAAACTGACTGTTGGCCTGAGGATGGCTGAGGTCCCATTTCCCCTCCCACCAGGGAGGCCTGGCCTAGCAGCTAGTGAGAAGTGCTCGGGAGTGCCCACTCTGACTTCTTGAGCAATGTGTCCTTTGTTTATGTGGTTCTCAAACAGCCTTTGAAAAACGTCTGTCAAGCCCTGTGGTTATTGACAGTGGGGTAGCTGACTGGGGTGAGTGACAGGAATTTATAATCTGTTGTGAGACATACATCCGTTCTCACAGTTGGCCCCTGGAACCCGCGTGAGTGATGTCCAAGTCAGAGGCTGTATCCTGTTTGATAAGTAGCAAAAACAAGCCTCAGAAAAGTTGTAATTGACCCCGTAGATGTCACCTCACTGGTGAATGGAGGGGCTGGGGTTCCAGAGCTGGTATCTTCTCTATCTACTACTCCCTGCAGCCCAGGAGGGTGTGAGGGGATTAACTGAAGTGGGCTGCACGGAACCCCAGCCCTGTGCAATGCCCTGTTCAACAAGGTGCCATGATTTCTTGTTGCCTCAGACCCAAATGCAGGAGCAGCCATGATTGCTTCATTCTGAAAATACTGATAGGGTGTCTACCACATGCCTGGCCTATGGTTGTCAAAATATACCAGTTTTAGGTTCTGAAGACGGATTGGTGAACAAAGCTGATTAAAAGCCCCCATCCCCTGGAACATGCATTCTGCTGAGAGGAAACAGACTAAAGCTACAGCATGTTAGGTGGTGACAAGTGCTATGGAGAAAAAAAGATGGAAGCAGGAAAGGGAGAAGTGGAGGCTCTGGGGACGGGGGTGTAATTTAAAATAGGGTGGTTAGGTGAGTTGAACATGGATTTGAAGGACGAAAGAGGAAATGAGCCCTGCAGGTGGGGGGTGGGTAGTGGGGCGGCAGCCAGTCAAAGGCCCTGAGGCAGGAGCTCCTGAAACCAAGGTGGTCAGTGGCTGGAGCGGCCTAAACAAGGGGCAGACAGGAGCTGAGGTCAGGTGAGCCAGGTTGTGGAGAAGATACCATTGTTTTGGCCTCTGCTCTTGATGAAATGGGATCTTTTAGAGGGCTCTGAGCACTCGTGTGGCATGATTGGACTTTGGTTTTAATATTATCTCTGGCTCTGCTGGTGGAGATAGCAGGCAAAAGACCAGGGCAGGAATTCTTCCCAGTGGTGGGGCCACCACCATCCCCTGCTGTTTTGTTCACCACCACCACTGCCCTCTGAAGTAGACATTATCCTCATAGGTGAGGAACTGAAGCAAAGAGGAGTAGCAGTGTGCTCCAAGGCACCCGGTCCTTAAGGCCGAGGTGGACTTGCACTGCCCCCTGCACTCAGGTACACTGACACGGTGCTTACAACCCAGCTGCACGGAACAGGCTGGCCAAGCGACCTCAAGAACCATTCTTGCCCCAGGGGCATATGCTTTATTAAGGAGCTTTGACAATCAGGTTCCAGCAAGCCAGGGACATGGGCTGCAGGGTGGCCTCTTTGCCCTGTAACCACAGTCACTGAATGTGCCTTGCTTGCTGTGGAAGATGCCAGATGCTTTTCTAGTTCTGTCTAGTCAACTGGAGTCTTAGATCTCAGCCCAGTCAAAACTCACATTTTTGGGAGAGGGACGGCCCCTTATAGCTCAGTCCTAGGGTAGCTCTGGGCAAGTTCTTTCTGTAAGTGAAGGGTCCATGGGGATCATGGTAAGAGCAATTTCTTAGCCACGCAGACCTAGCTGTGCTCAGGACTGAAGTCCCGTGGGGCTGGTCCAAGCACCCATGTGCAGGAGGAGAGGAAGGGAACACTAGGAGCAGCCCTTCCTCCCTGGTCAGCCCAAATGGTGTCTGCTGGCAGGACTCGGGTGCGAGTTGGAAGTGCAGCCTCTCCTGGGCAGAGTACTGGCCTCTCCGGCCCTGGCTCACGGTGCCTCACAGAACACAGCAGGTGCAGGAGGCCAGCCAGTGCTGCTTCAGCTGCTGTTGGAGCTGCTCCCTCTCCACTGTCAACACCTTCACCTTCTCCTCCAGCTTGCCCAGTTCTGCCCTCCATTTCTGAAGGGACATTGGAGAAGCAGAAATGTCCAGGCTGACCTCTCAGGCCTGTCCATCCCCCCAGCCCCACAGGAGCCTGATGGGCCTTGTTCACAGCCATTGGGCAACATGTTGGCACTGTGAGGTGGGGAAGCCAAGTCAGGTCACCTGACAAGTTGGCTTTGGGGTCTTGAGGGAGGCTGCCTGATGTGAGGGTCCTACCAGCATCCCATCCCCTGGATGGACCCATCCTCTGCAGCCTCACCAAGTGCCGGGGGCAGCCAGGCCCTTTCCTTGTCAGCCCCTTACCCCTCTCTGCTTTGCCACCACTTGATGTTTCCTTCCTGAGGTTTTTCATTGCCACCTCTAAGAAGAAGCACCTAGTCCTCCAGGTCTTGTAACTTCAAAATAGTCCAACCTTCCCCCTCCTTCCAGACACTCAAGAATTGAATGCCTTAATCCCTAAGCCAGGGAGGGAGGGGTATTCCAGGCACCGTGGAAGGTGGGCTATAGATGTTCGAGGGTACGCTCAGGGCCTGGCCCTCAACCCCCAGGCATGGGGCAGTGGGCCATAGAATGTACTGGGTAGTTTTAATCCACTTCCTCTGGAGTCCTCGGTGGGTGCTAGAGGACTATGGGAAATAGTGGCTTGCTGGGAACTGCCCAGCAAGCTGTTGAAGGGGCCTGCGGTTAGCATGGCTCCCATTTGCCCTCCATGCCCGGCCTCGTTACCTGCCTACACCAATCCTGGATGGCGCTGCCGGAGAGTGGGCCCTGGATGCTCCCATCGCGGCGTAGGAACACTTCTCCCTGGTCGGTTTCGTAGAGTTGCGGCTCGCTCTGGGCCTTGGGTTCGTGCACGCGCAATCGGATCACCTTGGTGAGGGGAATATGAAGGCAAGAGCTGTGCTTGTGGGTGCCACGCTGCACAGTTTGCAGCCCCAAATCCATGGCTGCCTCATAGGGCAGGGTGCCTTCCAGCCTCTTCGGCCCTCCTTCTCCCCACTTCCCTTTGCCACTCTCCTGGGCCATCATTGCTCAGCTCCGGGCTTCGCAGAATAGATGGCCCTGTCATTGGTTAAGGGATGACAGATGGCAAAACTGAAACCTAGAAACGTTGCTGTCCCGCAGGCTCACCTTCAGGGGGACACTGGTGACTGAGGTGCTGATAACAGGGATGAAAGTGAGGGTGTAGGCGTCAGGGAAGACCTGGGGCTTGAAGCCCTGTAGGATGGCGTCCACCAGCAGGCGCACGCGGTCCTCGTCGTGGTGGCTGCAGCTGATGCCCTGAACCAGGCCGCTGTCCTCAACGCCCACGAACAGGTTGCCGCCTTCGCTATTGAGGAAGGCGCACACGTAGCGCCGCACGTGGTGCTTGAGCGCCAGGCTCAGGTACTCTCCGCTGCCGCGCTTGAACTCCACGTTGCGCGTCTCGCTGCCCAGGAAAGCGCCCTGGAAGAGCCTCTCCTGGCCCAGGATCTCCTGATGCACGATGGCACTGTCCGAGAGCGAGCCGCTGGGGTGGTGGTGGTGGTGGTCCCTAAGCCCCTGAGAGGCCCAGGATGGGCTGGGTGGGCTCTCTGCACGGGGGGCCATTGACCTGCCACTGTAGTCCTGGTTGGCTCCTGGGCTGGGGCTGGGGCTCAGGCAGCTGTCTCCCTCCTGTGAGAGGGAGGAGGCGATCAACAGCGAATGTGAGGGGCTGGGCAAGAGTCAGCCCTTGCCTAGGTGGTGTGGGGGCCAGACTGCTAGAGCCCCAACAGCCTCCCGATGCTCCCTCTGGCTGAAGGGCCAGATGCTGCCCTCCCTTCATGCCAGCCAATGCTGGCAACCTCTGGAGGGCCCCAGGCATCAGCTGGGTCAAGGACTCAGATCCTTCCCCTGCCCACCCGGCCTGCTACAAGCTAGGTGACTGTGGGACTTGTTCCCAGCTGTGAACTGGGACATCTGTAGATCAATCTTTTCGCACTTGGGTTGTGGGTAGACCTCTGAGGGCCAAGGCAGGCTCATTCCAGGAGGTCTAATCTCCCTGGAACCCTTGTTCATCATAGTTTTCCTGACTATTGTCAAGTCCTGATTTTTTCCCTCTGTCCCTCCAAGTCCCTTTCCTGGGCTCTCCTCTGTGTGTTAGAGGACTGTGGACATGAGCATCCTCATGGCCACTTCCCTAATCTGAGCCTCATCAGTTGGCCCATGGATGGCCATGTCAGCCGCTCACTGGTCTCCTTGCCTCCAGGCTCTTTCTCCCCAACCCATCCTCACTGAGCCCAAATGCAAGTCAGATCAAGTCATTCTCTACAGCTTTCTGTGGCTCCTGGCTCCTGCAGGCCTCCCTAATCGCCTCATAGGGCTGGGTGCCCAGCATGCATGGCCATGGAGATGAAGGGCACATCCCCACAGGCCCTGCAGCTCCCCGAGAAGGCAGACGGATCATCCTTAGAAACAAAACCCCTCCAAACAGGACATCGGGCACGCAGGTCTGTTTAGTTCTGCAATAGTTGAAACACCATGGCATTTTCATCTCCCCAAAGAGAAAACTAAGATCTACTGTCTCAGGGGGTTACCCACCACAACCACCGCAAGGTGACTAGCCCTCTCAACTCCTCAAATGCTACCCTTTTAGCCCTGCTCTGCCTTGGTCTCACAGCCCTGCCCGCCCTGGCCCCAGCTGTCTTCTTCAGTGCCCCCTGCAGCTATGGGCCTGAGCTCCAGGAACACCTGCTGGCTTGCCCTTTGAGAACCAAAGGAACCTGGCTGTTCCTATGCAGGTGCATTCCTGTCTCCAGTGTCTTTCCCCACGGAGTGCCTGCCTGTCAGATTCCCTGAGTCCCAGCTTGTATTTACTTCCCTTGTTAATCTGTCACTGTGGAGCCTCCTGTCTCCTGCCTTGGGTTGAGGCAGCCACCTAGCTAGGGGCTTTGTAAACTGGCTGGCTTTGCTTACCAATGAGGCTCCCTTGTGAGGGCAGGGCCCTACCTTTGACCTCTGCCTCGTTGTCTAGGACAGGTGGACCTGGTTTTTGGCAAATGAGTGAGTGAGGTGGGCCAAGGAGAAAATCAGGGCCCCTGTGTGCCCAGGCGCAGAGACAGGGATGCAAAGGGACCTAGGGACAATTCCCACACTTAGGCCTTTCACAAGAGGGGTGGCTTCATACATGCTTCCAAGACTGGAGGTAGACCCTCAGAGTTAGTGATTATGATAGTTTTAAGTTTGTGTGTCAACTTGGCTGGGCCTGGTTGAGTGGCTGGGCAGCTGGAGGTAGTTATTCCCCGTGGTGAGATTGGTAATTGACTCCATGGTGGAATCTACTGGAGCAGCTGAGTAGCTGCTTTAGGGATGTGATCTGCTTCCAGTGTATAAGAAGACAGCTTTGAGGAAGGTCTCTGGCATTTTGGCAGGCTTGAACCCTGTATGTGGCAGTCTTCATTCAGTAGCCTGCCATGCTCTGCTGATCTTGGGACTTTGAAAGCATTTGAATCAATGGCCTGCTGTATGGTTTGGTAATATCGGGACTGTGCCTTTTCACTTGTTGACCTTGGGCTTGTCAGCCTCAGCAGCCAGCAGCTGAGTTAAGAGATGCCTCCAGTTTCAGTGGGCCAGGAGCAAGAGGCAGAGCTGAAGCCCAAGGCCAAGGGGCTTTCATCCAGGCCCTAAAGCCTGGCACTTTGAACTCAAGACTTGTAGCCTCCAGAACTGTAAGAAAATACACTCCTGCTTGTTAAGGCCATCCCATTTGTGGTATATTCCTGTCAGAGTGGCACTAGGGAACCAAAACACTGACCCTCTGGGTGGATGCCTGCCCCACCAGCTTCAGGCCACAGTTATTTGAGTAGCAGCCCCCAACTTTGTAGATGTGTCCCCAGCTCCTCCAAGACACCCCTCCACGCCCACCCAGGCTTCTCCCCTGGGGGAGGTTTTGGGGCTCTAGGGCCTGGTGCCCTGGGGAAGGCCCACGCACCTCTCTGCGGCGGGAGGGCTTCCGGCCCTCACTCACCACCAGCTCCTTTCCTCGGGCTGCCAGCTCCTTGAAGATCAGGTGCTTCTCTGCGGCAACCTGCAGGCGTGAGGTGAGCGAGGCCAGGGTGGCCTTGGGGATGGTCACCTGCACCACTGCATAGGCCTTCTGCGGCCGCCTCACCACCTCAATGTGTTCTCGCGCCACAGGCACCTCGAGCCTCTCCAGGGTGTCTCGTAGCAGGCAGGTGAGCACTGGCACAGAGAACTGGGGGTTCAGGTGGTGAACGTAGAGCGTGTGCATGGTGGGGGCTGCCTCAGGGTCTGCATCCTCAAGCAGAGGCAGCTTGCCCAGGGGCTCCAGCACTTGTGTTTCGATGGTCTCTTCCTGGGGGTCTTTGGAGGGGTTTCCCTTGGAAGGCATTCTGCAATTCCTCACTGCTGGCTGCTGCTCCTCCTGGGGCCTTGAGTTCTCAGCTGGGCCCAGAACCTCGCAGGGGGATTTAGGGGGTGGTGGGGCTCCTGAAAGGCTCACAGATTGGTAGGGGGTGGGCAGGGCCATGAAGGGATGGGGAGAGCAGAGGACCAGCAGGAAGTGGCTGGCCACCTACCCAAGGCCTAGAACAGGAAAGACAACAGTCATGCAGGTCTTCACCAATAAACACAGCATGTGGCCTTGCCCCTCCATGCCACAGAGGGGAAGACTGAGGCCTACAGGGGAGGCCATATGCCCAAAGAGCTAGAGGTTGAGGGGACCAAACTCAGGTCTTTCAGGGCCCCACTAGTATTCTTTCAAAAGCCCCAGAGACCTTGTCTTCCCTCTCCAACCCGCCCCTCTCCACAGGCTCACCCACCTAGGTGCCCTCAATGTTTCCTGCCCACCAGAAGATGACTGTTCCCTCTAGGGACCACAGAAACCTTTTAAAGAGGGCCTTTTGGAAAGGAGGCCTTAAGCCCACTTCTGGGGGAGGATTGGCCAGAGGCCCCATTGCTGCTTCTCCCTGGCTGACCTGCAAACCAGCCTGAGCTCAGCAGAGGCTCTGAGCATCAGGGCCAAGCAGAACACTAAGGTTTTTGGCACGCTGATGAACGCTAAGGCTGATCCCAGGAAGAATGGCCTCAAGCACATATACATACAATTCTAGGAGACTCAAGGACCCAGTTTAATAACCTCTAGTCAGCTCCCACAGGAGAAACACTGTGGCTGAGGAAGTAGGCGGGGCCTGTTCAGACCTGTGTGATCTCATGCCAGGCAACAATGCCTTCTTGGCTAGCCTCAAGCAGGGAGGATGAGGGAAGTCCTAAGGAAAATTCCTCCTCCATGGCCCGAATCTCCCACTCAGCCTGAGCAGATAGCTTACCCATTCAGAGCTCACACAGCTTGACCCTGGGGATTCCTCTGGGCAGGTCCTCAAATCTGTGGCTGAAGATATACACCCTTCCCCTGCCCCGTTTCTCTAGGCCACCCCTCTCGGCCACTGCCTAGTCCAAAGTCCCATCTCCCCTTTGGCTACCAATCCCAGGCAATCTGCTTCCGTAAAGATTATAGCCAAGCAAACCCTATGACAGTTCTACTGTGTCACATGGAGTCACTGAGCCGGAATCAACCCAACAGCACCCTACAACAGGCTCCCCTGGCACCGGTGGGCCCAGCTGCCCTAGGACGCATCAGAGTGCGCAGGGCTGGTTCCAGGGCTCCCCTAGCCGCAGGCCGCCTCTGTGCCTGGGATAGAAGATGTTGTCTGGAAGATCCCTGAGGAATAGATCAAGCATGCCATCACCTTTGGAGGACAGGATTGTGACCTGCTAGTCTGACAGGGACTAAAGACATGAGTGACACACAAGCCTCAGTGCAGAAATCTCTTCTTGGGGAGGACCCTCTCACAGTGAGATGTAAGGTAGGTACTTTCCCACACTACTTGTGGACATCGTGTGTGTGTGTGTGTGTGTAGTCCAAAGGCAGATGCTTCTGACTGGGAAAGGCATTGGCTGACAGTACGGAGCAGGCTGCCTTCCTTCTGGGCAGCCATTATGGAGATGCTACTGAATTTTGTTTTCTTTAAGGACTGACATAGAAGCTTGGGTGGGGAACTTGAGAAAGGAGACTATGCCCCAAATACGGCAATGTGAGGCTTTGGGGAGAGCTAGTGAGCAGGGCCCTCCACAGGGGCCTCGTCAAGGCCCAGTGGGTGCTGTGACATCCGAGGGCCAGGGTGACATTCTCCTTTCCTGTTCTCCCTCCCCAGCCTTGTGTTAGCTGTGCTTTGAGGGCAGAAGTTTCAAGAGACCTGGCGGGAGGTGACTGGGGAGAGAGCCTGCAGCACTAGTTAGAAGGCAGAGAGGCCAACTAAATCTGGGCGGGCATTCTTTGTGGAGGGAGGGCAGGCACCCAGCAGACTGCAGTCTGGGTCGGGGCTGGACTTAGTCAAGGGAAAGGTCTCCCTGAAAGCCTAGAGAGCCTCCTCTGATTTGGTTACTACTGGGCTGGATGAGTGAAAATCTTGGGCATAAAAGAGCTACAGGGCGGGCTGCACTCATTTCCCACCCTCCCCTCCTCAGGGGATATCATCTCCTGGCCCCCTCCCCTTGAGTTCAGCTCTTCTTGATCTTCTCAGGGTGCAAAGCCTCACACTAGGTGCTGTCGGCCCAGTAGGCTCATTTCCTGGGCTCGTACGGCACCTGCTATCCTGTCAGCTGTCTCCAGATGACTCATCTCTGAGAACTGCAGAATGGTGGTTCCTCAGGTTCTCCCCGCCCCCAGCCCCCAGCACAAGAGCCCTCTTCTCCTTCATACCTTCCTTGATTCTGCCATCCCTGAGCCACTCTCACAGCAGTTGTACAACTGAGGCCACAGATACGTTGAGACAGGTTAACCCTGTGAGTTGTAGAGAAAACAGCTGGCAGGAGAAGGCACTGACAGGACACATGCGAACCTAACGAGGCATCCTCCCCCTTGATCTAGAGGCCTTGCTATCGGGCAGCTGTTCTGCATGAAATTTCCTAAGTTGGTTTAACTGGGAAAACTTCCCCCATTCTCACTGGAAATTTTTTTAAACCATTCTGTTACGTTTTTCTCTGGGATCTTTGACAGCCATAAGTGAGCTGAACATCAGTTCAGCTTTTCTCGTGGGGGCAAAAATTGCCTTTCATTTTAAGTGCTAAATTATAAAATATTCTAAATACAGAAATGCATTGCAATCCAGCTGGGTTATGTGCATTCCTCAGGCTTTGTAACAGAACTATCAGGGCCCTGCAGGGAGCTCGGTGTGTGTGGCAAGCAGCTCTTTAGTCCTCTCACTTGGCGTCTGTGACCTTATTCACAAGCCTCATTTGGCATTTGAGAAAAAAATCCTTGGATTTATGATTCTTTAATGAATGCAAGGAGGGGCCCGAAGATGAGGCAGAGGGAGGTGGCGGAAATGCCTCTTATGTTATCTGGAGAATGGACATTGAATGCCCCTCCCCAGTGTCCACTTATGAAACCACATTAAGGATGTGTGTCTCTGGGATCCTGGCCAAGGGGGGAGGGACAGAGAGGGGGAATGAGCTCAGGGATTCTACTGCTGTTATGTGAGGACAAGGATGCCAGAGAGGAGTGGACTCCCCAGAGGAGTTCTGTGGACATGGCCTGGCACCCGTGCCACTGCAGCCTCACTCTTGAGCCGAGTCAGCATTTCCTCAGGCCTGAATGAGCCCTTTCTTTGCATACCACCACCAACCCTTTCAGAGCCCGGCCACCCACAGGGTATCTGCTATTTGAGTGACTCTGGCCTAGGATCTGTATGTACATGGTACCTTTTGGCTGTTGGCCTCTGGGACAATCTGCAATAACTTTGCTATCAGAGGTACAGACACACAGCTCTGATGCATAGTTGCAGTTGTTCCTGGGTTCAAAGTTTGAGGCAGTGGAGCTTCCCTGGAGTGTGGTGGCAGGGCCAGATCCAACGATTTGAACTATTAGAGTCAGAAGGCTGCAAAAAGCTGAGGGACAAGGGGAGGAGTGTCTGGATTCTCCTGGACAAGAAGGCTTTCGACATTTTGAGCTTTGCTTGTAAGAAGGGGCAGTGATCCAAGGAGGGCAAGTCATCTTTAGGCTTTTCCCCAGGAGGGACTATGGCACCTGGTGTGGTGGTTATGTTTTTGTGTCAACTTGGCTGGGCCTGGTTGAGTGGCTGGGCAGCTGGTGGTAGTTATTCCCCATGATGAGCCTGGCAATCAACTCCATGGTGGAATCTACTAGGAGCAGCTGAGTAGCTGCCTTTGGGATGTGGTCTACTTCCTGTACATAAGAAGCCTCTAGCCTATGGCACCCTTGGACCCTGCATGTAGCCGTGTCGTTGCTCAGCAGCCTGCTATGCTCTGCCGATCTTGGGACTTAAGTTAATGGCCTGCTGTGTGGTGTAGTAACATCGGGACTGTGCCTTTTTACTTGTCAACCTTGGGGCTTCTCAGCCTCAACAGCCAGTAGCTGTCTGAGTGAAGAAATGCCTCTAGCTCCAGTGGGCCGGGAGCAGGAGGCAGAGCTGGACCTCAAGGTTGAGGGGCTTTTATCTAGCCCCTAGAGCCTGGCATTTTGAACTTGGACTTAAAGCCTCCAAATTGTAAGAATAAACTCCTGTTTGTTAAGGCCATCCCATCTGTGGTATATTCTTGTCAGAGCAGCACTAGGTCACCAGGACACGTGGTGGGAGGGCAGGAACAACATATCCACTCGGCCACCAGTCCACATCCCAGAGAAAGATCTTGGGGAGCTCCACAGAGACACCAACGTAGAATGTTCTTCCACTCCTGCTCAGGGCAAATGGCTGGGGCAATGGAGGTGGAGTGGAGAGGAGAGTGGCCAAAAGGCAGGAAAGGCTACAGTTGTGGAGGGGCAGAGGGTTCCAGAAAAACGCCCAGTCCTTTCCTGGATTCAGCCCCAAGTGATGGCCTAACTCTTCTGTTTTCCCTTGGAAGCCCCTGGCTTTGTCCGCCTGTGCTCCTCAGCACTGGAGTCAGTGTGCTCTCCGTGTCATGCTGTTGAAGGTGGGCATGTCCCCCCAGTCCCACTTTCCCAAACACCTTCTCACCACAGGGGCTGCTCGACTGTTGCAGTCAATGGAGGTCTCTCATGTGGGCACCAGGCTTGCCTGAGGACAGTTTAGCTTTTTTTGATGTCTCTAGGTCACTATTAAGGACCCCTGGTGGCACACAATTAAAAAGCACAGCTATTTACTCCAAGTCTGGTGGCTAGAACCCACCCAGTGGCTGTGTGGGAGAAAGACGTGGTGATCTGCTCCCATAAAGAAAACCCTATAGGGTGTTTCTGCTTTGTCACATGAAGTTGTTATGCAATGAAAATTGACTTGATGGTGTCCAACAACACAACAGGTCACTATTAGGAGACTTGGTTTTGTGAAACAATTTCAAAACCAGAGAATTTTGTTTTTGTTTGCTTTTTCTTAAATAACATTCATTTTGACCTCAGAGGGTAGGGCAGTATGAGTAAAAGGTTAGCAAACGCTTTCCCCTCCTGCATGGGAATTTCTTTGGTTACCACCTTTCTAAGTTCTGGAAACCAGGTAAAAATGGAATTTCCACTGTTTCAAGGCAACATTGCTTACGTTAAAATGACCCTTGGTTGTAAATCATCTGGACTTTGAATAGTATGAGCTATAAACACTTGCCATAAAAGCATGACTTTAGGCTCCTGTATAATGACTTCCAATTAGGCAGGGACCCTGGAAACTATGACTAGAGTTGTTATAAGAGACACTGGCTCCCATGGAGGCTGGATGAATCCCCAAACTACTGCCCTGAGATCATCTTTAAACCTTAAACAAAAAATATCCCCTGAAGTCTTCTTAAAACCAAACAACAGTTTAGCTTAACTAGGAAAGGATGTCTGCCTTGAGCACTGTGCTCTTTTAAGAACTATGAATGGGATCAAACTTAACAACAGCAACTAGAAAGATTAGACAGGAACCTTAGGGGGCACTGAGTTTATGTTAATGGATGATGAACTACTCAGAAAAGGTGAGAATGGTTTCACAACTCAAAAAATGTAATCAATGTCATTGAATGGTATGAATTGTACATGCAGAAATTGTTGCACTGGTGTATGTTCTGTGTATATTCCCAACAACGGAAGATACATTTTTTATTTTTACTTTTTAAAAAGGATGAGAAAAAAAAGATCTTGGCTCCCCTGGGTAGGCTTCTAAGCCAAGGTGAACCCCCCCTTTTCCTTTATATGTCTTATTACCTTGCACCTGAGCTGTCACCTGGGAACCAAGAGCTCCTGGGTGATTGTGGGCTGCTGCAAGAACTACCTGGTGGTACAGTGGTAAAGCGCTACTACCTGAAAGGTCAGTGGTTGGAATCCATGATGTTCTGCAGGAGAAAGATATGGCAGTCCACTTCCATAAAAATTATAGTCTTGGATATGCTATGAGGCAATTCTATTCTGTCCTATAGAATCACCATGAGTGGTTTTTTTTTTTTTTTTTAACAAGAACTACCCCACTGAAGAGGTCTGCTTCAGGCTGTTTGCTATCTGACAGCCCTCAAAGTGAATTCGATGCCCAGGATGCCTAAGGGAGTCTTGAGTCTGAATGTTTAGTTAGATCTAAGACAAAGGGCCCCTGGTGGGTGTTGCTCTCAGTATGACACAGTCCACCTCTTAATAGCTATGGGAGTTAGGGTTGTTGTGAGGATTAAAAGTGATAATGCCCATAAAGAATTTAGCACAATAAGCCCTCCATAAATGGTGAGTTAAGTTGTATACTCTTGGTGGCCAGAGGGTAGGCTAAGGTGGGTGCCATTGTGCATCCCAAGTGCAGTCCTGCAGCTATCAGGGCTGCCTACATATCTGGTATATCTTTAGTTCCTGAATAAGGGTCACATGCAGAAGTTCACTGTCAGGACTTAGTAAGGTCCTCCTTTGGGAGTATCCTTAAGGAAGACTCCAGTGTGCAGGCGTCTGTGGGAAACAGGGATCTGTTCTGGTTTGGCAGTTCTGACCCTGACAGTGTCACAGTGACCACGGTTAGACCCTCACAGTGGCCAAGTGAACAAGGAGACATTCTACGTTTGTTAGGATGTCAGAACCAGTTACTGATTATCTCCTCAGCCAAGCCCATCAAAAGCCAGTTGGGCCCAAATAAGGGAAATGACCTGCCCAAAGCTTCATAGCAACTCATTGGACTGGCTAGAGACCCAGGCTTGGTCATGGAGTCAGATTACTTAGCTTCAAAGTGCTTACTTTGGCACTTCCTGGCTATGTACCTAAGCTTCAGTTTACTCATCTGTAAAATAGGTTTGTTGTGAAGATTAAATAAGACAATTCATGTAAAGCAGTTCACCTGGCAGATACTATTATAAAAGCGTTAGCTATTTTTATTATTACATTATATTGCACTATCCTGCAGCTCTCTCTATACCTTCTCCTCCAACAAACACTACACCTCCATTATAAACAGAGATGTGTGCCCGTGGACTTGTGATCTGGCCCATGCTCAGTGCAGGCCTGACTTGGCTGGGCCAGCCTGCACCTCTCCTCCCCCTACCTACACAGAGGAATATGACTCCAGCCATAGTGAATTAGCTGCCCCAAATATTGTTCCTTCCTGCTGTGGCTTCCTGGAACCGATGGGCTCACCATTGTCAAGTTGCGCCAATGTGAAGCCCTCTAAGTGTAGACATTGGACCCCAACACTGTATTCCCAGGGGCTTACACAATGCTGTGTGCCCTGGGGCATTTGGCAGACAGTCTGTTCTTTAGGGATTGCTGGAGTTAAGAGAACACTTAGGGATCATCTTGTCCAAGCTCCTCCTTTCACATCGGAGAAAACTAAGACCAAGAGAGACCAAGAGAAGGGGCGTGACCTGCCCATTAGAGGCACAGTGTTTTGGCTGTCAACTGATTAAAGACATTGGCATCTATATGATTTTTATTTATAAACAAATAGACATAAAATGAGTCCAGATGGTAGCAGGGGCAGCTTGCTGCTGATATGCTTACAAAGGAAGCAAATGGACAACAGAGTGGGTGGAGCCAGACTCCAGCCTGGAAATTCCTCCCTCCTGTCCACTTTAGGGCTTTCTTGGCCTAAAATCATTGGGCAAAATGCTTCTGGCCAGAGTAAGGAGCTGTGTGGGGGACTGTCTGTGGCCAGGACAGGGTGGGGGCTCCCATTCCTGTAGATGAGGCTCAGAGCTGCAAAGAGCCCAGTGGGGGAAGGGAAGGGAAGGTGACAGCTACAGTGACACTCTCCTCCCCATACTGAGTGATGTGATCAAGGCTCTAGGGTCTGTTCACCCCTAAAGGCAAGTGCCCTCAGGTAGTGTTCTCTGAAAAAGGGCCAGACCTATCTGGAGAGGGTCTCTCTGGGCCAGGGCAGGCCTTTCTCTCTCCTCCTGCAACCCAGGCTCCAAGGCAAGAAGGCTATGAACTGAAGGGCTTGACCAAGTGCCAGAAACAATAAATTAACAGTAAGAAAAGATCTTTTCTTAAAAAAGGTAGAGGTTTGCACCATCAGTTTGGAGTCTGGGGAGCTGGTGGGGAGAAGGCAGGAGCTGTGGGGCAATGGGGTACAACACCAGGCCTAATAAGTGGTGAGGGGACTGGGCACTATTGCCAATTCAAGACCCTGTCTTCCAAGGCCCCAGGCTCCTTCCACCATCACTTGGAAGGTGTCTGGTCTAGACTCTTGGTGAGAGGCCAGCCAGACTTGAGAAATAAATAGAGGGGGACCTCAGAGCTGAGGCAGGGCTGAGGGGAAGAGCAGCGCCAGCCCTGGGCCCCACATTCTCCCCTCTTCAGTCCTTCATGGAAGGACACATCATGGCAGGAGAGGGCAGTGGTGGCTCTGCACAGCCTCCTGGAGTCCTGAGGAGGCTTGGAATCCCACTGAGGTGCCTGAGAATGGGTGACCACCTTCCTTCACAGGAAGAGCACCCCATCTGCTTGACCACTCAGCTGTCTAGGATGCACTTCCTTGTTCAGAACTTGCCCTGCTTCAGCCGGTCAATGTGGTAGGAAAGCTTGAGTGCAGGCCCCAGCTTCAGCCCCATGTACTTCATTATCATGTCACTGCGCAGCAGAAGCAGGGCCTTGCCGTCGATCTCCTGGGGGCGGCAGAGGTGGTTGGGGGAGGAGCCATCAGAGGCCTGGTTGGTCTGACCACCCCAGGTTCTGATTAAGTGAGAACCACCCAGGGAATTGCTAACCACATCAAGTCCAATCAATCAGCCGTGACATTGAAGCCTAACTGTGACATTGAAGCCTATCTGTCCTCTGGACCTTTTTTCTCCAATCATTCCTCTCCTTAAACATCTGCTTCTGAACCCACAAAGTTGGCTCCTTGTACATACCTGTACCATTTTCCTTCTGGAACTGCCTGAGAGGCAATTCCTGCCCACCCTCACACCTCGGAGACACAGCTCCATCCCATCTCTCCAGGAAGCCCGTCCAGTCAGTGCACTGGTCACTTACCACAGGTTGTTATATTAACCCTCAATTGTTAATTCTGTGAGTCACCTGTCTCCTGAATGGCAGGTACCTCTCTGGGAGCTGGGCAGAAAGCAGGCACATACTGAGCAGCTGTGAAACCTTTAGGCCTGATCTAAGAGTATCCTCCAAAACCATCTGGTATGAAAGAATTAAGTGATCAACAAAAGGTAGCACAGCTGTTCTGCATGCCCCAAGGGTAGAACGGCACCAAGGAGGGGGCTGTGAGTATGGCAGAGCAGGGGAATCAGGAGCCAAAGGTCACTTGATGACATGCTGGAGGCTCCTAGAGAGGTAACTAGAGCATGAGGGAGCAATGAGGCTGGAGAATTGGTGGCCACCTGGCAAGAGGCTTTTTAACTGGTGCTAAGGCCTCTGATTCTTGTGCCTAAAAAATGCTTGACATGAAAGTCAGGGGCAGACTCGAGAACATGGCCCTGGCCTACTAGAGAGGCCAGGAAGGCAAGCCGACAGAACAAGTATTCCTGGGAAAAGATGCAATCCTTGACCCTGGGACTGAGGCCCCTAGGCCACATACCCTGTTGGAATATGGCTGAGTCAAATCCTATACTAAAGGACTAGAAGAACCAGGTTACCCAGTGAGGTCTGTTTGAAAATCAAGAGTCTAAATTTTTATGTTGTCACCTGTGCTCGGTGACACAAGGAACCTGGAAAAAATACACAGCCCATGCCCTTTAAGGGTCTACAAGTTACAAAAACAGGACTCCCAGGGGACACAGGAGAGGTTAGGCAGGGGCACCTACGTGTTTGCGAAAGAGGTCAGCATGGGGTCCGAGCTGAGGATCAACTTCCCGAACAAACTGCATCACGTCCTCAACTGTCCATGAGGAGGGGTCCCGGCCACTCAGTCGAGAGGCATCTCGGTTTTCCAGGTATCGGTCCGACCCTGCAGGACAGGAGGGTACCTACCATAACGGGTGGGGACTGGTTTATAAATCCCCACCGCTCTCCCTGCCATATCCCAACAGCTCTATGATGATGCTCACAGCAGTGCTAGAGCATGAGTAAGGGAACTGGAGATAGCTAGGAAGGGACTCTCCCCACCTAGGGTCTGTAGGGCCTGAGACCTAAGTCAAATCTTTGTACTTTGAGGACACATCTGAGTTTTGAAAACAGTCAGAAGAAACTTACATTGAGGCTGTGATTTAGTCTGTGCCTAAGACAAGGGAAGAATGGGGTAAGAATGGGGACTACTTGTGTTCAGTGGGAGCTAGTGGGTAGAACTGCTTCAGCTTTGGTTTTGGGGAGCATTTCTAGAGAGACCCTGGTAATTGGGCAGGATTAGAGCTAGACCCTAAGGGGTCCTCTTTCCAAGGTGCAGAGAACAGCTGAACTCACTACACCCTGATGCACTAAAACAAAAAATCATTTTGTCTTGGCTGCCAGGAATTTCAATGCTAATTTTTGAAACTTTGTTTCGAACTTTGTTCTTAATCTTGGCTCAAACACAGCTCCCAAAGCCCCATTTCAACCTTTGGGATTTAGGATGGATCTCTGTATTTTGATCACCACCTGCCACAGACCTCTTGTATCTTTTATGCCATCTGCTTCAATTTCTCTTTTTTGTCTGGCAAACTCTAACTTAAGCAGATTCTAGCTTAAGGGCCAGCACCACAGTGAATTGTTTTTGGTCTACCCCACAAGAATTGGTCTCACAAAGTAGCCCTTAGTGTATCTCCTGATTATAGCTCATTTCTACACATTTTCCCAGCATCACACCTCCCTAGTAATCTATTCTTCATAAAGTAGCCAAATAACTTTTATAAAGTAGTAAAGCATCATGTCAATCCCATCTAAAAACCCATGTCCTTAGAGTGTACTTGAATTGAAATCTAACACCTCACCATCATCTGGTCCTTCCTACCTTTCTGAAGTTATTTCACTCTCCTCCCTGCCCACCATGCGCCACACACACACTATCCTTCTCTCTGCTTGCTCAACAGGCCAAATTTTACCCTCTGACTTGTAATTTCCTTTGTGTAGAATACCTTTTCCAGATCTTTGCATGCCTGACTCCTCCTCAACATTTGGGTCTCATCTCAAATACTTATTACTCAGAGAGGTCCTTCCTTGATATCCTATTAAAAGTACCTAATTCCCTACATAGTCTACATCAATCCAATTACCCTAGTTTATTTTTTCACAGTATATATCACTAAACCCAAAAAAACCAAACTCACTGCCATCAAGTTAGATCTGACTCATATTTAGTGACCCCTCCTTGCGTTTCTGAGGTGGTATCACTACGGAAGTAGATTGCCCAATCTTCCTTCTAAGGAGTGGTTGGTGAGTTTAAACCTTCTGGTTAGCAGTCAAATGCCTTAAAATAAACTCATGCATATATTTGTTTTATGCTAGCCCCCTGCCTATAGAATGTAAGTGCTACTTTATTTCTGCTGTATCTCTAGCACATAGTACTGTTCACACATATTTGTTGAACAGATGAATGACTGTATACTATTAATAGTTATTTGTGTCTTTTTCTGTCTCCCCAGCCAGACTCTGCCAGTCTTGAGGCAGAGGCCTTGCTTGACACATCTCTATATCCTCAGCACCTACATACTGCTGTCGAGTTGGATCTGACTCGTAGTGACCCTTCCTTGGGTTTCCGAGGCATTATCACTATGGAAGTAGATTGCCCAACCTTCCTTCTGAGGAGTGGCTGGTGGGTTTGAACCACTAGCCTTCTGGTTAGCAGTCAAATGCCTTAGCCACTATGCTACCAGAGCTCCTCCTCAGCACCTAGGAGATGCTTAATAAATGGTTGAGAGAGAGCAAGTGACTTGCTCAGTCAAGTACAAAGTGACAGAGATGAAACACGTGTGAGTGTACAAGGGACCTAATCTTCAACTATCTCCTTTAATGGCTAAGAATTCCCTCCTATTTTCCTTCACTCTATGTCTAAGCACACTGTCTGGCCCAGCTTGGTCTAGCCCACACCCTTGTTAAATAAAGACTTTTTGGTGCTTATCTTACTACCTTCTATTCCACCCTAATTCCTGCCATAACCCTAAGAGGCAATCCTACAGAGCCAATACGTTTAGCACACCTCCAGTGACTTTCACTTCCACGTCAACTACCTACTGCAAAGACCATTCTCTGGTTCTTGTCATCTGTGGAATGAATCCACTTCAGAATTTTAAACATCCCATCCTCTGATCTGAACCTCTCATCTTTTCAATTATCTTAGGACTTACATACTCTAACTGTTACATCACAAAGACCTTTACACCATATCAAACTTTTAATTCTCCCCATCCTTCAGCTTTCTCTCAGCTGTGCTTTCTCCTTCACTCTATCTAGAGTCAGTGGTTGAAATCTGAACTGCTCTCCTTCAGCCCCACTGAGTCCCTGAGGTAACCCCACACTTGTTCTCCCTTCTTACCCTACCAGCTCGGCACCAAACCTTCATTCTCAAACTGTCTTTTCCCACCCTACATCTAGGTAATTAAGAACTACAGAGGAAAACCACAGCTCTTGCAAACTGCTAACCTAATCTCCAAATATACCTTTTTCCCTGCTGTTTCCTGAAAACCATCCCCCTTTCCCCTTGATCAATTTTCTCCTCCTCTTTTTATGACTCATTCAACCTTTCTGTAAGTGTTTCTAAGTCCTTTCCTACTCAGCCCTCTTTCCCCTCACTCCTGGCCATAGTCAGTCTTTCCTCTAGTCCCAGAGAGAGTGTGCCTCCTTCTGGCTTAAGACCGACTCATCTGTCTGTGCCCTTGACTTCTATTCCTTTGACCACCTCCAAGGCCTTATGGTCTCCTCTTTCTTATATTATTCTTCCTTTCAGAAAAGCCCAGTTGTCTTCTGATAAACATGCCCAGTGTACTCCCACTCTAAAAAAAAAAAAGAAAAAAAAAAGGCTTTTGACTCACAAACTGCTCTAGTCACCATCCTTTTTCTCATCAGACTTCCATTGATGTCCCCACCTGCTGCATGTTTTGCTCTCATCACCCTCTACCACCACGTAAGCTGCTCTTGCTAAGATCAATAATTACTCATTAATTGCAGAATCCAACAAATACTACCTCCCTCTCTATTTTACTGAACTTTTGCTGTACTGTGCTCTGTACTCCTGACCACCATAGTATCAAATTCTTTTGTTTTTCTTCCTATCTTCCTGTTCCTACCTCCTGAACTTTGTTGTTCACAGGATTCCACCTTTGGTGAACTGCTTTTTCATTCTACACATATTCCTAGGCAGTGAGTATCACTGAACTATGTCATCTACATGCTGATGAATCCCAAATACTTAACTGTAGCTCAGTCCTCTTCCCTGAGCTGCAGATATGTGTAGCCACTGCCTGCTAGAGAGCTCATAAATAAGCCAAGGGCTCCCTCCCTTTCCATGTCTTCTTTGGTTCGTTCTTTCAGTAATGGCACCACTATACATTCCTAACTCCCTTTCTTCTTCACTATCCTCAATTCAGGCTAAATTTATCTTGGGAATAGTTTTCAAATCTGTTCTATTTCTCGAGCTTTTTGCCATGGCCTTAACCCAGGCCATTATCACTCTGGCCTGGTCCACTCTAGCAAATCCCTAAGTGGTCTCTCTAATCTCTTCTTTCTTCAAATCTATCCTCAACATGGTAGTCAATGATCTATTCAAAACACAAACCTGTTGATGTCTTACCTCCAATTAAAAGCTTTCAGTAGTTTCACTGCCTACAAGATCAACTTCAAACTCCTTAACAAGCATTTAAGGTCGTCTATGGTGTAACTCCTGACCTTTCCAGGCTTTACTATTTGAAGTCCCAGTATGACATTTTATGTTTTAGGAATACCAAACTCCATGTAATTCCTGACTAAAATCTATGCTACTTCTTATTCCTTTGCCACTGTTCATGCTATCTCCTCTTCCCGGAAGACTTTCCCTCCTCTATCACCCCCAAAAGTGGCCATTCGTATATTCACCCTTTAATGTCACTTCCTCAAGGAAGCTTTCCTTGAATACCAAGCTTGGGTTAGGTATCCTTTCTTGTTTTCGTAATACCCAAAGCACATCTCTCACTGCACTAAAGAGATTGTTTTATAATTATCTGTTTAAGTGTTTGTCTTTCTTCTCCACAAGACTATAAGCTCTTTGAAGACAGAAAATGATTCACTTTTGCATCTTCATAAAAACACAGATGGTGTTCAAATAAGTGACTGGAGGATGAGTGAATGATTCCTTCCCTGTCCCCCGGCTTTGAGTCCTCAGCAATTACTTTCTATCATTCCCAAGCCAATCCAAGAGCTCTAATTACCTTCCAGGTGCTTGACCAGGTACAGAGGTTGTCCAGTCCCCAGTTCCATCACCAGGGGACAACAGAGGAAGGCCCTCCTGGGAAGCTCAGGAAGTAAAGGAAGGTAAGCTTACCCCTGGAACAGAGCCTGCGCACAGCTGAGGCAGTGCTCTGTGGGAGGCCATAGGATGGAAGCAAGGGCCGGTACCCAGGGGCTCGAAGATTCTGGGAGGTGCTGACAACAAGGTTGTTGGGATTCAAGGCAGAGTCCATTGTATTTGAGTGTGGTTCCAGGGACCGGGCCAGACTATTCCCTAGGATAAAAGTTTCACCTGGAAAACAGTAAAACCAGGATTAGATTGGCCTGGGAAGACTGACAGGATGCTGGCTCCCAGGTACCTGTTTAGGAGTTGTGTAAAGTGAAGCAAGAAGGAGCAGAGCAGAGAGAGAAAGCTCTGGGCTGAGACTCAGGAGGCTTGTTTTCCTGGATAAGGAGAACATAATAATAATGGTAATGATAATGATAATGATAATGATAATGATAATAATAAAGCTATTTGAAGATGGAAGAGGCTGACTTGGACACAAGATGCCAGAGCAGGCAACAGAGATGCTGGAGAAGAGACCCATTGGCTTCGGTGAATTACTTTAGAAGCTGGTCATCTGCTTAACTGGCAGGGCATCTCAGAAATGCTTCTGGATACCTGGCTAAATTCCCTGTCTGCAAAGGATATGCTCTATTTCCCTTCCTCTTTTTGTATTTGCCCCATTCTGTAGCTACATTCCAAGGAAGCTGGGGTTGTACAGTAGTGAGAGCTTAGGCACACAGACCAGAGTGTGGGTTAGAATTTGGCTCTGCCACTTAGCAGGCAAGATACTTCTCTCGGAACCTCAGTTTCTTCATCTATAACATGGGCAGAATCTCTCTCTTTCTTGCTATGGGCTTGTGAATATCAAGGGAATGGCTGTGGATGCCTCTGTAAAGAGAATTTCATCCTGCTGCTTCTACCCAGGCCATGACCCAACACCAGACAGAAAGTCCCAGTCACTGTACCACAGAAACAGCAGCAGACTCCCTCTCCTGATTGGGTTCTACCCAAACCCAATCAGCTCCTCAGTGCTGGCCACAGCATTCTCTGCTTTAGGGGACTGGGTGTCCTGTGTGCTGGGGCATATCAGCTGTCCTTTGTGTATTTACTTAGCGACTGGGTGTTTAGATAATGTTTGGGATTCATTTAGGGCCTCTGATGAACTCAAAATTCAAGCATAAGGTCTGGCACACAGTAAGACTTCACTGGCAAGATGGTTTAGGATTTTAGGATTATTTTCTAATATAGGTAGTACCTAGATTATGAATAAGTTTTGTTCCTAAACCTGTCTTTAAGTCGAATTTGTACATAAGTCAGAACAGTTAGGTACAATTAGTCGAATGTGTGACTTAGCATGTAATATATAGTGTACCATTCTATGAATAAAGAGCTCTGGTGGCTTAATGAGTAAGACATTTGGCTGCTAACCAGAAGGTTGGTGGTTCAAACCCAACAGCCATTCCACAGAAAGAAGATGAGGCAATCTACTTCTGTAAAGATTTACAGCCTTGAAAACCCAATGAAGGTCACTATGAGTTGGAATCAACTTGATGGCAGTGGGTTTGGGTTTTTTTTTTTTGTTTGTTTCTATGAATAAAAAACATTAAAGACACACTAAAATATCCTTAACATAATACAGTAAAAATAATGTTTTAATGCACATTGCAAAGTAGCACGTGTTTATTATTATGATCCATTGTGTGTATATGTGTGTGTGTGTGTGTGTATATATATATATATATATAAATTCTTTATAGGAGTTGGTTCATAACTATGGTACATACATTGGATGTTTGTACCTGGGGACTGACTGTACCTAAAAGTGTTTGGCAACCATGAGCTCAAAGTCAAATCTAGCATGAGACAGGGAGTTTAATTGATGAAACCCTTCTCTACAAGTGGTTCTGAAAAGCAGTCTTTAAGGCTCCAAGATACCTAAACCATATCCTTACTCCTTTTCTGCAGATGAGACTTCTGATTCCTATTTTCCAGGAAAGATGACTTCAGTAGTATCTCATTTTGTGAGACAATTAGGAATTCAAACCCAGCTCTAAACATGGTCTCCCACTTTTCACTAAGTATGTTATCTCAGGTAAGCTACTTGTTCTAAGCATCAGTTTCTTCAGCTGCGAAATGGGGAAAAATTACTCCCGTCATGCTGAGAACAACCAATGAGAAAATGGAATGGAATGGATGTTATGAATGTGCTATTTTGTTCTTCATTTAAGGTTAGGGTGGCAAACCTAAGCTCTCTGCAATAACTCAAGAAAAAGATATAATCTAATTTTTGTTTTTCTTAGTGGGGTAAACCTCACTCATTTTACTAAGCGAGGACTGGGTATAGTACCACCTGATTTGCATAAGCTAACAGATATGAAGAATAGTAAGAGTGAAAATGCCAGGGGCTCATCAGATGCTGATGCAAACCAATGGATAGCTCTTCCTCTGAGCAATGCTAAAATTGCTAAATGAGATTTGGATTCTGAGTTGAGAGGTCTGAAAATCTTGGCCAGTGGCACTTAGTCTAGGTAGGTTCATTAAATCTTATCCTAATGAAATGTATTAGAAAAATACAGCACATGCCTACATCCTAGTCATCTTAGGGCTGATGAAATGGGGCCCTGGCTACCATCAATACTGCAATGCCAGGGAAGAAGACCACAATGTTTTCAAATTGTGCTCCACAGAGTTCTGAGGGTTTCCAGAAAAAAGCAGTGATCATTAACCCATGATCATTCCAGAAACAGATCTAGTCTTCCATTCCCAAACTCTGACCCCTGGTGGTTTCAAAGTTTCAAAGACTAAGGAACTGATGTGGTTTAGGTCGAACATCACTGTGGGAAAGACAGTGTTGTAGGTTCTCTGGTGGTGCAATGGCTACAGACTGTTGCTTGGTAGCAAACAGAAAGATCTTGAGGTAGTGAACAGCTTGGAGTATTCAGGGAAACTGAGGGAAGAGTGTAGCTAAAATGCACAGAGAATGGGATGGATTTGCAGAGGAAGGCATGGACTAGATCATGCAGAACACTGCAAACCAAAGTAAAACATTGGATTTAATTATAAATGCAATGGAAAACCACTAGAGAGTTTTAAACAGGGAGTGGTATAATCTAATTTATGGTTTAGAATGGTCACTTGGCCTATTAAGTCTAAAATGGACCAAAGAAGAATAAGAGAAGTGGTAAGGAGACTAGATAGGCTTAGAAAGAAGCTCGCAGGCCAGGAGAGGGAGGATGATGGTGAAGACAGTAGAGATGGTAAGATCTAAATGGATTCAAGATACATTTTGGATTTCCATTGCCAGCTAAGGTGGAGTAACTAGGGTTACTCTACTTCATGAGCCAACTAAAAGGACAAAATATATAAAATAATACTGGACATCAGGCAATGCAGGACAGGGATTCCTGAAAGGGTAAACAAATGAGTTAAGCCCTACACTTATTCCCAGCTTACTGTCTCTGGAGAGTTTCCAAGCCACAGTTCAGGGAAGGGAAAATGAGGCAAAGCTTGATGATCTCCCTGAGTTGAGGAGTTGGAGCTGAGAGTCCACATAAGCCAACACAGCCAAACTTCACAGGGCAGAGCATTAGAGGGGATTATAACTACATTTTATATGTACAAGAAGGCAGAGAAAAGACTAAGGATGTTAAGCAGAGGCCTTGTTGTTGTTGTTATGTGCTGTCGAGTCGGACCCGACTCATAGCGACCCCTCCTTGGGTTTCTGAGGCAGTATCACTATGGAAGCAGAGGCCTAAAGACATAAAAAGACCTCCACTGAACTTCTAGAAATGAAACATACAGTGTTTGAGATGAAAACTACATGGGATGGATTAACAGTGCAGAAGAAAAGATGAATTTAAATACAGCCATAGAATCAAACCAAAATGGAAAACAGAAAAAAGACTGAGGAAAAAACAAAAGTCAGTAAATCCTCAAGAAGGTTAATATCTGTGTGAAGAGTCTACAAAGGAAAGGAGAGAGAGAGAGGGGACAGAAAATATACCTGAATAAATAACGGCAGAAATTTCCCCAAATTTGTTGAAAACTGTAAGCTCATATATTTAAGAATCTCAATGTACCCCAAGCACAAGAGACATTAAGAACACCTCACCAATTGTAGTCAATGTCATGAGACAAAGTGTATGTGAACTGCTGTATGGAAAGTGAATTTCACCCAAATCTCAATGAAAATAAATAAAGAAAGAACACCTCACCAAAGCACATCATATCCAAATTGCTTTAAACTAGTAATAAACAGAAAATCTTAAAAGTGTCCAGATAAAAAAAGACATTACATACAAAAGGTCAAAGATAAGAATGACAGCAGATTTCTCATCAGAGACAGTGCAAACCAGAAAACAATGTAGTAAGACCGTTCAAGTACTAAATCACCACCACCACCACAAAAACTCAAACCTTAAATTCTAAATCCAGCAAAAATACTTCCAGAAACAAAAGCTAAACAAGACTTTTTCACAGACATAAAAGCTGAAAGTATTATCTCCAGGATACTATAACTACAAGAAATATTAAAGGAATGCCTTCAAAAAGAAAGATGATGATATGAAACTGGATCTACACAAAGAAATGAAGACTATCAGAAATGTTAACTTTAAAAGGGTAAATATAAAAGGCTTTTATTTAAAAAAAAATTTAAAATATAATTACCTATTTAAAGCAAAGTCTACCATCTGTCAGTCTGTCATATTGTGGTGGCTTGCATGTTGCTATAATACTAGAAGCTATACCACTGGTATACCAGCTATACCAGCTTCCAGACTATGACAGGCTAGGAAGGCAGGCCTGACAGTCTACTTCTAAAAATTAGCCAATGAAAACCTTAGAGATCACCATAGAAAATTATATGACTTACTTGCTTTGGACATGTCATCAGAAAGGATCAATTGCTAGAGGAGGACATCACATTTAGTGAAGCAGAGGGACAGTGAGGACAGGGCAGGCCCTTGGAGAGAAGGAATGGCACAACAGTTGCAAGGATGGACTTGAACATGCTGGCAAATGTGAAGATGAAGATGATGCAGGACTGGGCAAAGTTTTGTTCTCTTGAACATAAAACTGTCATGAGTTGGAGCTGACTCGATAGCAGCTAACAACATCAACGATGTAAAGTGGGGATTGTAATATATGTAGAAGTAAAATGTGTGATAACAATAACACAAAGGTCAGAAAGGGGAAAGTGAAAGTATACTATTGCAAGTTTTTTATACTATACATACCAAACC